GATATGCCTCCCTTTCTCGGTTCCTCTCGTTTTAATTTGCTGGCTGCTCATTTTCCTATATTGCTTTGCATTGGTTTTTTTGTGAGTTTTTTTTTTTTTAAATCATGAGAATAGTATTTTAGATAACTTCGGAATATATTATAAAAATGTAATTCATAAATATATTACGATATTTTGATCGTTAAACATTTTTGTATATGTTCTATTCTAAAATTAGGATTCGGTTACTGAGTTGTTGTTTGTGGTGGAGACTCTAAGTGATAGGCAAAGCCGCAAAGTGAAGTTATTGTACCCGTGCAATGTAGCTTTTCGCAACAGACCTCAGGTGTGTGCATGATTTGTTGTAGTCTATTCACTTCTTTGAGGCGTTTGGGTAGCTTGATCAAGACTCTTTGTTTGATGCATAACGCATCGTGACCTCATGTTGCAGACTATAGAGAACTAGCCTTGCGCATTTTGTGCACGAGTCTGCACGTGAATTCTTGTGCCTTTAAAGCCTTGCAGCATTTACAATTTTTGTTGTCAACCATTAAAGGAGTGGATACCCATTAAGGATCTATAGGAGGCTAGTGGAAGAGCTTTCCTTTTTGATTTTCCGTGTTCTTTTGTGAGCTAAGTTTGAGGATGTTGACCATTGTGTCACTTTTTATAATAAAAAATATCTAATTAAATGTTATGGGAGTTAGAAATTTTGTCAAGATGTCACTGTACCAAACTCGCCACAACTGTCAGCGAGTTCAATTATATCACGTGACACATTAAAAGAAGTTACAAAACTTACTATTAGTTGTAGCGAGTTAAATGATCAAATTGGTTAGTCTGATTTCTGGCTTAGACAAATTTGTTGCAGGAAATTTCATGCAGAACTCGCTGCATTACAGCAGAATGCAGCGAGTATGGTTGAGTTTAGGAATGAAATTGGCACAGGCATGTAGACACATTCTAATTTTGAATTCCAAAAAATAAATTGAATAATCTATTCGTCAAAACTTGCCACCGAAAAATAATCTATGGCTGAATGTTGAACCAAAATTTTGGACTGCTTATCATCTGTTTCAATGAACTTAATTAGTGTCATCGATAAATCAAACATATATAATTGGATCGTCGAAATATTCATTCTGACACGGGATTGCAAAGTCTGTTGAAAGTTATGTTATCGATGAAATTGTCAACAAAATCGATGAACTATCTCATCAATAATTATGAATTTTCTAGTTGTGTTAATTATACACAAAAATGAATGAAAAAATATGCCTTAGTCTATAAAAAAAAAAAATTAAAAATATCCTTAGTTTATCCATTATCAAATATAATTGATTTTTTTCTATAAAGGAGATTGGTTGTAGTGAAATTTTGGTTTAACTAAACATTTCAAAAAAAAAAAAATGAATGGTTTGTTACCCTCTATAAAAGAAGAGGAAGAGAGACTTAGAATGAGGATATTGTCTACGTGTCTCTGTCAGTTTCTTTTTTTACCGTATATGTTGGGATGTCTTGCGAGGATGTTTAAGACATGCAATTTTTTTTACCGTTGGGACTTTACTCATTGCATCTTGCAGTGAGTTTGCCTTTTTCCTTGTGTCACTGAAAAGTATAAATCAGATTTATTGATTTCATCACTTAACTTGCTACAACTAATAGTAAGTTTTGTGATCTCTTTTAACGTGTCACATTAGTTAGGTAATCAAATTTGTTAGCAGTTGTAGGAGTTTGATGTCGTGATATTTTGACAAAATTTTTAACTCCCGTGGTATTTAGGTATTTTTTTTATTCAAAAAAGGTGGCACGATGGTTAATGTACCCTAAATTTCCATCAAATATTGGAATTGGCAAATTGCATATTTCTGTTTTTGCAACGCCCAGCTGCTTTAAAAATTAATGACTATTCCTACACATTAACAAGAAATTTTTCAGTGTGTTTTTTTTTAGTGTGCTTTTTCCTTACTCGCACACTTCCTGGAAAAACTTCCCAAGAGGGAACTCATCCCAGAATTACTGCAAGTCAAGCACGCTTAACTATGGAGTTCTTCCGTTCTGGACTACCAAAAAATAGATGCATCTTGTTAGTATAGGTAGTACCAATTAATTCTTATAAGTTATCCCCAACTGTGTCGTCTCATACCTGCACAGTCTTTGGAATCTCTCTTTCAAGTGTCGACTCGATTCGTCCATGTAACCCTGCTGGAAGCCTGTCAGGAGCCGCTCCTTGTCTATGCCCTTTCGCACCATGCCCTTTCGTACCGGCGATCACTCCCCGCCCTCGTCAACGCTCGGGATGTTACAGTTTTAGCTCGCTGGTTTGCTTGATGAAGCGAGAAAACACAACGAGAACCTCGTAAATGAAGGCTCATGGATTTTCTTGTTAAAAAGGGAACAAATTAGGGTTTTACGAATCGGTTTTGCATGACTTGAAGAGAGAAAAATGACAATTCTAGGAGGAGAACACAAAGGAACAGTCAAAGCTTCACTGTGGAGATAGATTATCAAGTTCTTTCTGTGGATTCTTGTTTCTTTTCATCTTTTGTTTCTGTTTCTTTCATTATGCTAGGCTAAATTTTCATATAGTTAGGGTTAGATGGAATCAATGGATTCCTAATATTATTTACTCCTTTTTTGTAATTTGATATTCAATCTTTATGTTATGCATTTAATTTGTTCTTAATTCTTAGTTTAATTTACGATTTGGCCAATCTTAGATGAGCACATGAATCTTGCATGACAATAGGTAGGATTCTGACTAATTAATTTCTGGATTTTGCTTGATCTAGGGATAAACTTGTGATTCTTTGTTCTTAATGCTTGCTCTAGGCGAGAGCACTAAGGAATTAGGATTTTTAATTAGGTAAAGGATTGAAACACTCAGGGATTGAGTTTTAATTAATCTTGAAGAATTGTCAATAACATGAGTTTGAATATTGGTTAGAGGAAAGGGTAGATTCATAGGATGAAATTGGAAAAATTGAAACCCTAGTTACGCTTTGCATCATTGGTTTTTATCCCGATCTTTATTCCAAGTTTTTTATTCTTGTTCTTGATATTTAGCTAGGTAGTTTTATTTCTGATTTTTATTTTAATCATTTTCAAGAAAATTCTTTACGGTTGATCCAACTTTGATCGCGTAGTGAAATTAGTGCTTGATAGGTCAATTCTCGTGGGAATAATTTTTTACTTATCATTTTATTACTTGTACGGCCGATATTCCTACCGTGATCGCAACAATAATCTTAGTGGTTTTAGAAAATTTTGGATAGATTTTATTTTATATTTTTTTAGTTTTAACGATTGTTATATTATTGTTGGACACTTTAAAAAAAAAAACCATTAAAACAACTTATGTGTAAAATGAAAAATTTGAATTCCAACTTTTTATTTTACGATTGTGATTGTGGTTTGAGTTTGTTGGAATTAATATTGAAATGACTCAAGATTATTTTTTGATATTTTGAGCAAAATCTTTAATTAATTCGTTACCACTTGAATAAATTCCTTCAAATTTAATAGACTTAAAATGTACCACCTTTTAACTCATGTCATATTTTATTTTATTTGAAATTATACCAAATTTAAAATATAACCTATATTTATTTTCTGTCCCATTTTAATACTTCTTCCCAACAGTACTAAAAATGTATGTATTTCTCTAGGTCAACTTATCTAATTTTAGTGGATAAGAAGGATCATTCAACAAGTTTGACTTGTTTTGATAATAAGAGAAAAAGGAGAGAAAAGGGCGAATCCTAATCCACCATCTGGCACATGGTTTTCAAGAAAATACTACTGGTGTCAGTCCAAATAAACATAATAATGCTGAATATAATATTGTTATACACACATCTCATGGGTGGGAAATGGGAATGATCTTGCTGATTCCAAGAGCAGATAACAATACATATTGAAATTGTTGTTATTAATTTATTTTGTCCAAGTTCATGATTGCTATAGTATATCATTTTCATATAATTCTAATTGAAGAATCGGTTAGGCGTAGGCTGTATCATCAATAATGAACATTTTAAAATCCTAGTCATCTATGGTCCGTCACCCCGATGGGATCAAGTTCTCTACCGTTAATTTCATTTATGTGGCGTTTGATTGAGGAGAATTTTTTTGAATATTAGAGAAATATAATTGATAGAGAAATGGTTGGAAAGTGAGTTTGGTAAGAAAATGTAAAAAAAATTGTTTGGTTAGAAAAAATTTGACTGGGCATATTAGGTAAGATTTATAAAGTCTATGTTTGGTTTGAGGTAAAATATAGATGAAAAAATAACTTCAAATTACAAATATAACCCCATAAAAAAGTGAAATCTTGGCACTTTAGATGAGGGTATTTAAGTCTATTAGTGAGTTGCTCTTTTGTCATTTAGTTAGCTAAATGTAAAATACCACCCTCAAGTTGTCTTTCTAAATAATAACTTTGCTTTGTTTTCTATGAACAAATAAGGAATGCTATGCAAATACAATACCTAGAGAAATTTTGTAAAATCATCTACCAAACATTGCTTTCTTACTTTGCCAATTTGATTTATATAGATAAGTTTTAAGAAATCTTCAACCAAACACCACCTTAAATAAAGCTTAGGATTCAATTCATTGTAAATGTAAAAAAATTTGTTTGAAAAAGTTAATCACATCATGACATAGATGTTCCTCGCTCAAATAAAATTGTCTCATTTAAAAGATACATGTAATTTATAAAAAAAAAAAAAAAAAAAAACAACCGTAGAGAATCTTCATTCTCAAAAATTCATTTTACATGAAATAATAATAATAAACGTGGTATAAAGAACATGAATTATTAGATATCTACCCCATCATACGCGGTTCTTTAATAAAAACAAAAAAAAAATTACATGAAATTATTAAAAAAATGGCATAAAAGAATATGAGTTGTTATATGTGAATAATGAACAGCATCACCTGCGGTTCTCTATAAAAGCCACAAAACCTTAAGCCAAAACTTGTGATCTCCCAACTTTGCTTCTAGGTACTATTCACACAAATGAGTACTCTCCCTCAAACTCAGGACCAAACCATCCCAGATGCCTGGGACTATAAGGGTCGACCAGCAGAGAGGTCCAAAACTGGTGGTTGGACTTCTGCAGCCATGATTTTAGGTCTCCAAAACCATTCCTTACCTTGCTTATACTCCACTATTGTTTTTAATTTTTAATTTTTAATTTTTTAACACAACTTGGTAATAAAGCACATATAATCTCATTCAGATTGGGTTGTTTACTTTTGTTTCTATGTATTATTATCAGGAGGAGAAGCATGTGAGAGGTTAACAACTCTTGGTATCGCCGTAAATTTGGTGACATATTTAACGGGTACTATGCATTTGGGCAATGCTTCCTCTGCCAACATAGTCACCAATTTCATGGGAACCTCTTTTATGCTCTGCTTGCTCGGTGGTTTTCTAGCCGACACTTTTATCGGGAGGTTTGTCTTCACTCATTCGAAAAAGCAAAACCAAAGCAACATTTAATTATTTTATTCAATTAACTGAGTACTTACTAGATTTTTCAATATTTTCTTCTTTGACAGATACCTCACTATAGCCATATTCGCAACCGTTCAAGCAACTGTAAGACATTGCAGCCTTTCACAGTTCATTTTGGTTTTCATCAGTTCAATACAGAGCATGCTCTGTTTTGTTTGTTTTTTTATCCAAAGCAGGGGAACATAACCATATTTCAAGTTCTTATTATTTTTTTTTTTTTAGGGTGTTACAATCTTAACGATATCAACCATAATCCCGAACCTACATCCTCCAAAATGCACAAAAGACACTGGAAAACCTTGCATACCTGCAAGCAACACACAACTCATGGTGCTATATTTAGCTCTTTATGTCACAGCCTTTGGCACCGGTGGTTTGAAATCCAGTGTCTCAGGCTTTGGTTCGGATCAGTTCGATGATTCGGATAAAGGAGAGAAAAAACAGATGATTAAATTCTTCAACTGGTTCTTCTTCTTCATTAGCATAGGGTCACTGGCAGCAGTAACCATTCTCGTGTACATTCAAGATCACCTAGGAAGAGATTGGGGTTATGGTATATGTGCATGTGCTATCTTGCTGGCTCTTTTTGTGTTCTTATTGGGCACGAGAAGGTACCGGTTCAAGAAACTCGCCGGTAGCCCGTTAACTCAGATTGCGGTGGTTTATGTGGCGGCTTGGAGGAAGAGGCACTTCGAGTTGCCCTCTGATTCGTCCTTGTTGTTCGACGTGGATGACTTCGCCGATGAAACACTGAGTAAGAAGAAGAAGCAGAGGTTGCCACATAGCAAGCAGTTCCGGTAAAACTTCTCACTTGGGTTCTTTTCATTCGTTATTTTGATAATGCTTTGTTGGATAGTTGAGTACGAAATGATTCCTTTCACCATTATTTGTTTGTGCTGTTGTTATCTTGAGTTACCTTTTACTGTTCACTTTTATAAACACGTATACGCAAATTATAAAGATTGGTTGTCTTGGTCTAAAATTTTCTACTCAGGGACCGACTTGTCGGAGATTCAATTCTTAAACCTAACACCTATCAGTTCCACACAAAGTCACCTTTGTAGTTGTAACTAAAAGAAAAATTAATTACACACGTAACAAACAATGTATGGGTTTGTGCTTGAATTCAATTAGGCCATCTATATATTTTTCTTTTGAATATAGGTTCAACAGCTAGTTAGGCAATTGTGTCATTCTCTTCCATTTTGAGAAGCTTAATCTAAATTGTTCTCTTTGATCAGTTACGAATTTAATTGAAGACATATATGCAATATTTTTGTGTACATTTGTTCAATTATAATTCTTGATTATCAATAATGTTTCGTGAGGAAACCTTTTTTTTTTTTATAGGTTCTACTATTAAGATATAATTTTCTCTCTTCCCTAGATATCTTTTTGCAATGAATGCGATATTTTTTTTTTGAACTTTTTTTCATTCAACACAAATAAGGTTATATTTAAAGTAATATTTTTCCTGTTCTTAGTATTGACCCCACATTTTTCTTTTTCTATAACACAAAAAAGTTGTTACTAGTATAAAAGTGGTTTTGCATGTAGATCAATATTAGTGCCTTTTCCACATTGAGGGTTTTGTGTATCATATTTAAGGTAACGTTAGAAAGGAAATGGGCAATCAAATCATTGCGTGCGGTTCTAGGATACCTTTAACATCTGTGAATAAAAAACTTTTAGAAATTAGGTGATTTGATTTGGTAGAAACATAAATAATGCATACCCCCTATCATAAGGCATACCCTAACATCTGTGAATAAAAAGCTTTTAGAAAGGTCATTTAATTTGGTAGAAACATAAATAATGCATAACCCCTATCATAAGGCAGAATGTTATACACAACTAATATATAAACAAGAGTTGCTTCTTCCAGAAGTTGAGGACTAAAAGAGGTAAAACAGTTCATTGGTTGAATAGCGACCCCAGCAGTGAACTTATCCTTGAGGGTGGGCTTCCATGTTCAATAATTGGGGGAATTCAACTTTTTAATAAGTAATCAGAAGCTAAAATGTGTCGACCTTATACTATTCATTCATTGGGCACCTAAAGTCGGTAATGAAATGGACAACTGAAGCTGTTGTTGGCTAGAACTAGAAAGTAGAAACAAATGTCTGGCTTAGCATACTGTGATGTTTGCATTGGATGGTATATGATTGATTAATAGTTATATTTAGATATGTTACATTTTCCATTTGGTAAATACCTTTCTCTCTTTCCTTTTTTTTGATATTATTTCCTTCACTCGTGACCAGATGACGATTTATAACATCCACGTAATAATGACAAAAAACAGTAACTTATTATTGCTATTGTGAAAGTGAGAAAAATAAAGTACCTTTTTCTTTCTTAGGACCGAATTCAATGATATTTCATTATCCACCGGATATCGCTGTCCACAATCCCACATATTCCTTTTCGTTTAAACTAATACCCCAAAAATTATAATAGTTGGTTTCAAAACACGGACGAATCTGAATCCACGTATATAGAATCACGAGGCGGAGGGGCACAGCCAGCAATTTTTACTATTATGCTTCTGATTTTCTTATCAGCTTTGTCTCTCTATCAGCTGTCACGGACATGGCTTTGTGGTTTGTGCTACGCCTGCCCCCAACAACATTGCCTGTGATTGTAATGTGATTTATTGCGTAAATAGATCCTATCATGTCACGTTACCATGTGAGATTATTCATTCCTTCTGCCAAATCAAACAAATTAAAGTATACTCCTCTGGCTTCGTACCAAAGTTCCAAATTTTCTTAAACAAAGTTTATTCTAGTGTCTACATATATATATATATATATATTAATTTTATTATTACTCGAACATATTTTATATTTAACCCCAAGTAGTTTAATTTTTGGTTTGGTTATTTCTTTCGAAGTTTAATAATTGAATATTTTGTTGGATGTTGACGGAACAGCTTCTTGGACAAGGCTGCAATCAAGGACCCAAAAACAGAAGGTGAAATCAACGTTGAGAGGAAGTGGTACCTTTCAACTTTAACAGATGTTGAAGAAGTCAAAATGGTTCAAAGAATGTTACCAATATGGGCCACCACCATAATGTTTTGGACAGTCTATGCTCAAATGACCACATTCTCAGTATCACAAGCAACCACCATGGACCGCCACATCGGAAAATCATTTCAAATTCCGGCAGCATCTCTGACCGTGTTCTTCGTCGGGAGCATTCTCCTAACCGTTCCCATTTATGACCGTGTCATCTTTCCCATAACAAGGAAGGTTCTCAAGAACCCACAAGGGCTAACCCCTTTGCAACGCATTTGTGTTGGGTTGGTGTTCTCAATCTTGGCCATGGTGGCAGCAGCACTCACCGAAATAAAGCGCTTGAGAGTGGCTCGGTCACATGGTTTGGTAGATAACCCTTCAGCTGTGCTTCCCTTGAGTGTGTTCTGGCTGGTCCCACAATTCTTCTTTGTGGGGTCAGGGGAGGCTTTTACTTATATAGGGCAACTAGACTTCTTCCTCAGAGAATGTCCTAAAGGGATGAAAACAATGAGCACAGGGTTGTTTTTGAGCACACTGTCCTTGGGGTTTTTCTTTAGCTCCTTATTGGTGACTGTAGTGCACAAAGTTACAAGCCATAAGCCATGGCTTTCAAATAATCTCAATGAGGGGAAACTCTATGACTTTTACTGGCTTTTGGCCATGTTGAGTGGTTTGAATTTGGTCATATTCTTGTTTTGTGCTAAGCGGTATGTGTACAAGGACAAAAGGCTTGCTGAGGAGGGCATAGAAATGGAAGAACCAGACGCTTCTTGCCATGCATAGCTAGGTTCTTTTTATTTAATCCTCCATCATCTCACACTTATTGTAGTTTTCTTTTTTTTCTTTTTTCTTCTTTTATCTGAGTTTGCTAAATAAGCATTTTCATTGGCTACCAACTTCATTAAGGTTGTAACCGTTTTCTATGTGTTTATACTTTATAATGTAGTATGGAAAAGAAGAAAGCAGAAAGAAATGAATAGATTGCTTTATGACCAGGTCTTATTTATTTCGATCCCTTTTATACATGTTGTGGTGCCTTATTTATTTCTATCCTTCTATCTATTTTATTGTTTTTTCATCCGTCAGTGCAATTTTATTTTTTTCCTGTTAGTTTGGACTTTAAATGATATATATATAGCGATATATAGTTTGTATGAAGTTGTGGGTTTTAGTAACAGGGTTTTATTTTAATATTTTTTATTAAAATTGTGGATACCAAATACAATTCATACATAATTTAGTTTTTGAATATACTTATATAAAATCATCAAATGAAACAACTGACTTAGTGAATTTTATTATATATAATATATGCACCAATGCAAATTAAGTAAGTTGTGGTCATTTCCATTTGACAAAAATTATACTGAATTTCATTTGAAAAAATATTTTTGTGTTTCAATTCTAAGCATCAGTTGAAAACTAACTGGATTAATTGAATTGGTGCAAGCTCATGCATATCGCTTGCACAATTATGCATATTAAATAAGTAGTCATGAAACACATCTTTATTACATGTTGCGTTTGAGGCAAGGGCGGAAAGAAGGAGGGGTTAGGGTTGACTAGGGGTGTCAATATGGGTTGACACGACACGAATTTGACACGACACGAATACATCAACACGAACACGACACGAATTTTCATTCGTGTCAAAATCTTCAACACTGACACGACACGAATTTTTTGCGGGTTGACACGACACGAATAACACGCAAAATATGGGACAAAACGGTAATTGACAAAAAAATTTAAAAAAATAGATCGAAAATAAATAAAAAATAAAAAAATAATAATAAAAAATAAAAAAATAATAATTAAAAATAATACGGGTCGACACGAACACGAATTCATAAACACGAACACGACACGAATTTTTTGCGTGTCATTTTTTTCAACACGAACACGACACGAATTTTTTTACGGGTCAACCTGAACACAAATTTTCGTGTCGTGTCGCGGGTCGACCCGCGTTTCAAAACCCATATTGACACCCCTAGGGTTGCCAGTTACTTCTCTCTAAATTTTGATTTTATTTATTTAAATCATATATAAAAAATGACATTTTTATAATATTTTGTAGAATATTAATCCTAATAGTTAGTCCCTTCAAATAAAAATAAATAAATAAATAAACCCCTATTCCCCATGTATCTAACCACTGTTGATTCAACTCTCAAAGAAAAATCATCAAACACGTGGATCAATTGATATTGAATTGTTCTAGCTTAACTAGTGATCTTGAGTTCGAGCCCAAGGTACACAACTGTATTAAAAATTTGACAATCAGAAACCGAATCATTTATATAAAAAAACAATGGCTATAAAAGAAAAAGTTAAAAAATCAACCACAACAACATCTACATTATTTTCCACCAAATATCTCAACTCACAATGTTATTCGCAGCTTTTGAAATCACAAGTAACCACTCTATATTTCACATGATTTTCTAGGGACTCAACAAAATTTCATTTGATTTTAGTTATCTCATTCAATTTCTTCTTATGCTTGCAACTTTGTATACATGTTTCTTTATTCCTATTTTTTTGTGGTATCCTACTCTTTATTCGTAATTAATTGAAGGTTGAAAAATGAATTTAACATAGACCAAAGTCGAAAAACCTTAAAACAGATGGTGTTCTTTAATACCAATAGAGTAAAAGTATGTATGGGAAAATATTCTACATTATTATATGTAAAGTCCTTTGGAATGGAATCAGTTTTAATTAAATTCTTAAAAAATAAAAATTAATAAAGTTGTTTTCTTAATCTCCATTACATTACACAGTGAGTATATTTATTTATATATAATATTTTTTATTTTTGCCGCCTATCATAAACAATTATGGTCCCACCATGGTTTGATGTAGAGCAAAGTGGTTGAACTCGAAGGGTTACTTGCCAACCCATAAAAACGGGATGGGTTAAATTGTGTATTTCAACCAACCAACTCAACATAACCCACTACAAGAATATTGAGATTCAATGGCGGTTTACCGAAGGCGGTTTGAAAAAAAGACGTTAAGTTATGCTTTGTTTTCATTTAAAATCTGCAAGTGAGGAATTTGACCAAGTCAATTTATTTTTTGAGATTCAATCCGCTAGTTGTTTGTTGAAATTTGATTTTTATTTTTTATTATCTCCAAACTAACTCTATACTGTATAACTTTTTTATCCTCACAAAAAAGACAACTACGTAAATAGACACTGATACTAATTTCAAAAATATGCCCTCACACACGTAACCCTAATATCCCCACATTCACTCTCTATCCTCTCATTTGTTTCTTTTTTTCATTTCTATCAGATCTGAATCTGATATGTTAAACTTTTCATTCTCATTTTAGCTTTTAGAACTCGTCCTTCTTCAACGAGTTTAGAGAGGGAAATCTCAATCACACATTTCTCAATCTCAATTGCACCTTGGATTTCATAGAGGTATTCCTCTTTCTTTGTTCTAAACATTGAAACTTCCAATGTATATATCTCAATCTCAATCACATTTATCATTTGCATCATTGTGATTTGTGCTTCTCTTCACTTTATTTGATATTTTACATGTGTGGACCATCGGCTACGCACCGTAGTGACTCACTAGAACTGAAGAAATTCGCGTCGGGGAAGAGTGCAGGACGTGGAGAGGTTTGGCTTAATTGCTATTTTTAGCTGAAATTTTTTAATGTATATTTGATTTTTTTTCTTGTGTTCTTTCATGATGAGATTACTGATGGCGTTAATCCTTTAGTTCATGTAGTTATGATAGTAATGAAAATCTTATTGGTTATTTAGTTATGTTTTGTGCTCTGTCATTGTTATAGTATCCAATATTTCATCATTGTTTAAGAATCACCTATCAGTATGTTAGTAACCTCTTTTTCTTTTTTCTTTTTCTTTTTAAATTAATTTGTTCATGTTTTACGGAGAAGCTTGGGTTGGGGAAACTGATTTGAGGATTTTATTTCTAATATAGTGATAATCACCTCTTTGGTTGTTCGAGATTTCGCCCAAGTTTGGGGGACTTTACTTGTTTTTTGCTTATTGGGGTTCTTACTAGAAACTAAAAAGTGATTTAGAGACACTTTGCATTTATTTAATGGGTTCGCTTTTTCTGCAGTCACTGCAGATAAGTTATCTGCAGTAAGCCCAATATAACGTCGTTTTGGGGCGGAAATCATGGTGTTTTGTAATTTTAATGTATTTCAGGGTTATTATAGTCTTTATAATTATATTTTTTTTAATCTTTCAATCCCAAAACAACATCGTTTTGGGAGTAAATGCAGATAACTTATCTGCAGAAATATTTTTCTATTATTTAATATATTAAATAATGCATAGCTTGATTTAAAGGCTAGAATTAAATGCCTAAGTGGGGAGTTTCTAAGCTTAGATTTTTTAAACTTATAAATGCTCTTTATATGTGGTCATCTATGTTGTTCCCTTCACCTACTTGTTACCTTCAGAAGTTTGTTCCCTCTCACTTCGTGGTCCACAAGCTTTATTGAGCTTGTAAAGACTCTCACTGAAACCCATTACTTGATGAAACCTTAGTTTACTTTACTTTCTACTTGTAATTTGTGTGTCAAGTTTTCTGTTTATTTTAATAATAAGGATGTTCCTTGTTACACACATATTTTCAATTATAGGGTCATTGGTACATCTTGGCTGTGATTTCACACTTTAGTTATATATATCCTTTCTTTTTTTATTGCTAGCCTTCATCATTTTGTTTGGTATTTGCTAATGTGTATTGGCTTTTGCATTTGGGGCAATGGTAAATCTACAGTTCTAGTAGATATTATTATTTTAACTTGTCGCTTTATTAAATATGACAATTTTCTACTACTTGTATTTCTTACTTCATGATTTATATTTTTAGAAATTGCCTATATATGAAAATGACATACAGTTATGTTGGACTTTCTTTTGATGTTTTATTATTATCATAAAATTGAGACGTCGTGTGAGGACCAGTAGTATTATTTTCCTTCTGCAAGTTGCAGTTGTGGATGTGTTGTTGATATGTTCACACATTTTTTGTCCTTGTCTACTTTGTCCTTGTATGGATCTTCCTTTTCCCATATTTTTGTACAGTTACTATTTGAGATAACATCTTATTTAAATATTAACTGTCAAATAGCACCAAACAAATGTCAGTGGTTGATTCCATATTTAAGAACTAGTGCTTTGAAAGTCTAGCACAATTCGCAGTTATATGATTTGGGTGTTTTGGGTCAAAAATATCTTTTTTCCAACATCAAAATGACTTTATTTTGGGTCAAAATTATCTCCTGGAGAAACATTAAACCCTTTTAATTTATCTTTTTTGTTTTGTTTTGTTTGGGTGTTTATTTATTGAATCATTTCTAAGCATGTTTTTGTTCCTGGCATATGCATTTATTTATGCAAGCAGTTAAATTTTTGAAGAAATTAAATGTTCCTGTAAATTTATGACAAAATAAATGGTTTTAAATGTAGTGTGACTGCTTGATATTTGGTTCTTGTTCTGACTATGGGCATTTTGCCAACTTTGCAATTTGAGATGTTGGAAAAACTAATTGTTTCACTTCCTTAATATATGAAAATAAGATGAGTGACAATGTAGTAGTCTTAATAGATGCTCATCAAGGCTGCTACGTGTCATTCACTGCTAAGATACAAGGAATAGTCTTAATAGTTTTGCTTAAAGTAGGACAGATCATCTCAGAACATGGTTTATAGTTTGAAATAGAAGAGTGTCTTGACGTAACTAATTTAATTTTCTAGCCAATCTAAAGATGATGTATGTTTAACAGGTTAAACTGTCTTGTAATGCCTCTGATCTGTTACGGCAGCTTAGCATCACAAGGATACATTTATATTCTCTCATGCATCATATACTTCTCAGCATGCTAGAACATGTTTTGATTTAGAAGTCATTTTTGTAACAAATCTAATCTAAGTACATCATACTTTGCAAATTCTGTCTTAAGGAGTTAATTCTCTTTTTAGA